TGTGATTTTGGTACATATGAAAAAATAAAAATAAAATATTTATAAGATGTTCAGTCCCTTTCTTTTCTTTTATCTTCTTATATATTATAAGAATGTAGTATGAAACATGAAAGGCTTCAAAACCTTTAATACTATCTTAATCACTTTCTTTCCTACTGGTATTCTCTCAAGTCCCCTTTACTAATTTTCCTAATTTCTATTTTTTTTAAATAAATGTAAAAAAAAAAAAATTGATATACAAATAGATAAAGTTAACAAATTTGATCTATCTCGCTTCTGTTAAAATCTTTCGTAATTAACAAATTTGATCCTATATGTTCAGTTAAAATCTTTATTTTATCTCTCAATATCTAATTTTAAATTTTATTTTTTTTAAAGCCTATCTAAACAAATCTAATTTAAAATTTTGATTTTTTTTATTTGAATTTTTATTTTTTTACAAGAGCTTCAAGCATTAAATAGAAATTTTCAATTTTAAAATTTTTAAAAATAAAAAATATATTTGGCATAAAGTGATAAAAAAATTACAAATCCACAAATATTTATAACCATATATATAAATTAAAAAAATATATAAACTCATAACAAATATAGATAGATAGATTTATGACATTCAGTTTATTAGTAATTCTTTTTAGCATATATATGTTTTAGACATTAGGGTTATTGAGAAACATCTTATTTATTGTTAGTATTATTTCATTAGTTAGAAATCAAGTTTATTATTTCAAGAAAAATAGATCAGTTGAATTATAATAACATTTTGTGCATATCTGTTTTTTAAATTATTGTCTTTACTTATGAAATTTGAGAAGATGATCTTTATTCATTATGATTATAATTTTGTGACAGAATTTAGAACTTGATGCATTATTAAAAAATTTATATACTATAAATCAGTCTCGTGCATAGCACGGATTTACCACCTATATATTAAGCAAAATGGGGTTTTTAGCCCCAAACTTTGTGGGAGCTCCAATCTTCCAATCTAAATTTTGTGATTTAAAAAAAAATCTTAGCATTTATTAATTTCTTCTAACTCCCAAGTTTTACCTTTATAATAACACTTTAATACATTAAGAACAAACATAAAAAAAATTATTTGAAATCCAACACATATGAATTTCTTGAAAAGTCTCAACACATATGATTATTATCCTTCATAATAACACTTTAATGCATTAAGAACAAACATAAAAAAAAATTATTGAAAAGTCTAACACATAGGATTATTATCAAAATATTAAACTTTAATATAATATAATAAAAAAAAGACATTTAATTCCTTGAAAAGTTCAACACATATGATTGTTATCAAAATATTAAACTTTAATGTAATATAAAAAAGGAAAAAAAAGAAGACATTTAAAAAAAAAATTTAAAAATCACAATTCACATATATATAGATAATTGTAAACATAATCCGTGTATAGCACGGGTGATATGCTATCTATACTATATATTAAGCAAAAGGGGGTTTTTAACCCCAAGGCCTGTGGGAGCTCCAATCTCCTAATCTTAATTTTCTAATTTTTTGATTAAAAAAAAAAAAACTCAGCATTTATTGACTTCTCCCAACCCAACCTCAGCATTTATTGACTTCTCCCAACCCAGAATCCCTTTTGACTTCTTTCATAATTATTGCAACACCCATTTCAATTTCTCCCATATACTATAGTTACACACAAATTTTTTTTTAAAAAAATAAGAATTTAGCTATAGATCTCAAAAGGATATAACATCTAAATTTAAATTATGATTTAATAATATAATTATGTATTTTTTTTATGTATATCTATCAAAATTTTAAATCAGTTAATGGGACAAATTAATCAATTTTCCAAAATTATTGATTTTTAATTTACAAAATAGATTAAAAAAACTATTGACTGAATTTATTTGTTTAATAACAGTCGGACAGCGGTGGTCTCTCTGAGTTCTTCAATTAGGTC